TTTTTTAAACAGCAGAGTCCAGGGAAGGGGTAGGGACGGTTTTATGGCCTGCAGCATGCAGGGGGTCAGACCAGATGATCATAATGGTCCCTTCTGACCGTAAAGTCTATGAGTCTATGAGTCTAAATTATGTACAGTGTTAGATGTAGACAAGGGATTAGAATTGCCAGGCATCCAGTTTTCCACCGGAATGCCCAGTCGAAAAGGGACTCTGGTGACTCTGGTTGGCACTGCCGACCCAGCTGTTAAAAGTCCAGTCGGTGGCGCGGTGGGGGCAGGAGGTTAAGGCAGGCTCCCTGCCTGCTATGGCTCCGCAAGGCTCCCGGAAGCGGCCACCAGGTCCCTGCAGCCCCTAGGTACATGGGTGGCCAGGGAGGCTCCGTGCGCTGCCCCGCCCCTAGAGCCGGCTCTGCAGCTCACATTGGCTGGGAACCATGACCAATGGGAGCTTGTGGGGTGGCACCTGCAGGGGCAGTGAGCTGAGCCTCCCTGGCCAACCATGTGCCTAGTGGCTGCAGGGACCTGGCGGCCACTTCCTGGGAGTTGTGGTAAGCACCGCCGGGACCCAGCACCCCTAACCCTCTCCCACACCCCTACCCACTGCCCCAGCCTGGAGTCCCCTCCCACACCCAAACTCCCTCCTGGAGCCCGCACCCCACACCACCACCTTGCCCTAGACTTGAGCCCCCTCCTGCACCCTAAACCCCTCATCCCTGGCCCCACCCCAGAGCCCACACCCCCAACTGGAGCCCTCACCCCCCCTCCCACAGCCCATCTCCCTACTCCAGCCTGGTGAAAGTGAGTGAGGGTGGGGGAGCGAGTGAAGGAGAGCTGGAGTGAATGGGGGCGGGGCCACACAGAAGTGTCAGGGCAGGGACAGGGCCTTAAGTAAGGGGTGGGGCAGGGGTGTTTGATTGTAATTAGAAAGTTGGCAACCCTACAAGGGGTATGGGGAAGACTAAGAATAACCAGTCTGAAAGAAAACTATTGCTGGCTAAATGCTGCCAGTCTTCCATAATCTAGCTTGTTTTCTGGCCATGCTCAGCATCTTAGAAAGGGGTTTAAAAATCCTTCTAAACTTGGCATGGTTTTGCTGGGAGTATACATGGAACCATAAATCTTAGTGTTGCGAGAGGTCTGCACTTCACATGACCCACAGCCATCTTGTGTATGGACTTAGCATAACCTGCAGCCATCTTGTATGCTCAGCCACCATATATTGGAAATAAAAACGAGAGTCAGGAAAATATGGCCTTGGCTCAGGCAGAACAGAATACTAGCTGCAGCATTACTAACAGGGATAGATTCAGTAAAATCACAGATTCACGGGAATAGAAGGGAGTATGGACAAGCTAAGCTTAAGTTTCTGCAATTTTCTTACTGGTTGATTGTGTAAATTTTTGTTAAAAGTTGCTTTTGTTGATAAGAAGAAATGATAAGGTTTTGCTGTTGCTAGAGAAATTGTTTTAGCCCATTAAGGGGGTTATGAGTGGTTAGATTTATTGTATAGTCATGCTTTAAGTAAAATAATTGGTTACGGTATAGATAAGGACTCTCATTTTAACTATATAATGAGGGCGAAAAAGAGAGGCCTGTTGGAACTTAACTCTGGAAAACAGCTCAAGACCAAAGCTGCCAGAACTCTTATACCCTGCACAACCATTCCAAGCAGCAGCTGGAGCCCCAGACAAAATCCAATCCTGACTGGCCATCAGGAGATGTCAGTCTGCTTTATTGGGAGTGGGGAGCATTAAGTGCTTGGTGTGTAAATTCAGTTAATTGCTAATAAAAGTACGTTAAGGATATTCACTGTGTAAAGGCTCTTTCACTGTGTAAAGGTCCTGTTAACCTGTAGAGGTGATTGCCCCTAGAGGGGGGAGGAGAGAGTTTTAAATTTGTGTGGGTAACATTAGTAATGGAAAAGACATGTTAGATCATTAAATGCAAGATTTATCTGTATAGTTTTTTAATTTCTAGTGCTTTGCCTAGTTAGAAATCACTTTAGTAGGGTTCCGAGCATTCTCTTTGAGACTTATTTCACACTCTAATCTCTCATGCTCAGGAAGTGTTTCCTGATACTCAGTCTAAATTTTCCTTTTTTAAATGTACTTCAGGATATACAAGAGTCCATGTAACACAGCAAATAATTTCTCTCTCATTGGAGTTAATGTTCTTCAGATATTTGTATGAGTCCGACGAACGCTTATGCTCCAATACGTCTGTTAGTCTCTAAGGTGCCACAGAACTTTGTTACTTTTTACAGATCCAGACTAACACGGCTACCCTTCTGATACAGATATTTGTAGACTCTCATGTCCTCTCATGTTACATAATTCAGGTTTTACACAAACCTACCAATACAACATGGACATACAACTTACATTCATTTTCAGTAGCCAAGATACATACCAAACAGAGAGCAAGTCTCAGTAAACTTTAGAAATTAACAGTAGGATTTCAAAGCCATATAAGGGGATGCGGTTGCCCAATTCCCATTACATTCTAATTGGGCATCCAAATCCTTTACATGGCTTTGAAAATCTCAACCTACATATTTAGGAATTGGAAATAGAAATACCATCAAAGATAAGCCCAGTTATGTACTCCCACTGAATGGAAAGATTAAAAAAAGATATTTAATTTGTATGACATGAGCTATTTGATATAAATTCATACAGTTTGTTGTTGTATTGCTTCTATGATATTCTAGACATTTGCCATTTTTTTTCTTATTAATTTATCATTGTTGTATTATGAATTACTTATTACTAGATGATCATGAGATAGCTACTTACATATTTTAATACTACAGTAAGGTGTGATAATTAACTATTTTCTATATTTCCTGCCTATAAACATGATCTGTTTTGAAAAGGATTACAATGACTTTAGTTGCCAATACCCTTCATTTCTGTTGGTTCTACTCTGGGCTGCAACAGGATATGAGAGAAGAGAAACAGAACTGGAAAAAAAAATAAAGAAAAAAGGGCAAGGAGGTAAAAGATAGTTGAGGTCAGACAGTACTTTCTGTGAACTATTTTCTCTCTCTGTATTCCTGGAAGGCATAGTCAGTCATCTGCTGCTAGTTTTTATTTCCATTGCTACCCCCTAGAATATCCTCCTGTTTGTACTTGTTTGGTGGTGGCACTGTGTGTTTGTATAAGAGGTTTTAGGGGACGTAAGTTGCGCTACCAACTAGCAATTTGGGTGTGTAGGTTAAAATTAACTGTTATAGTTGGTTATTTGATAGGCCCAAAATATGGTTGTTAAAACCACAGCATTCACCATATGAGTTTTCTCTATCCAAACCATAAAATGTCTGTGATACATACACTGGATCCAGACCTACCTCCTGCCATGAAACAGTCCTCCGATAATGTTCACTTCAGTCAGTCTTCTAAACTTAGGCCTGGTCTACACAGGGATGGGGGGGAGGGAAGAAGGGAGATACGCAACTTCAGCTACGTGAATAATGTAGCTGAAGTCGACATACTTAGATCTACTTACCGTGGTGTCTTCACTGTGGTAAGTCGACAGCTGATGCTCTCCCGTCAACTCTGCTTGCGCCTCTTACCCTGGTGGAGTACCAGAGTCAACAGGAGAGCGCTTAGTGGTCGATTTATCGCGACTAGACTAGACACGATAAATCAACCCCTGCTGGATCGATTGCTGCCTGTCGATCCAGTGGGTAATGTAGACAAGCCCTTAGGAAATCTCTTGTTTTCCTCAGACATTATATTGCCTGTCTTTGGTTAGCCGTGTGCTATGGTTATAAAGTTTACAGAATTTTAAAGCACCTGAAAAAGGGATACTTCTTTACAAGTATTTAAAATTTATGAACAAAGTAAGCCTTCAGTGGTAACATGTAGGATATGAACATATTTTTAGTCACGCCTTACTGCTTTTTAATATGATTCAATTCCCTGCCAAACATTTTCTCAGGCAGTTGCTATAATTCCTCTGCATTCCCTTAGGTTTCCACACCTGGCTATTTTCAGAATGGTAACTTAAAATAATAAATACATTTAGCTTTTAGGAGATTGAAGCTTAGTAAGTAGCCCAAAGGGTATGCTTCCTCCTCTCTGTAAGAACACAACATGTAGCCTTCCAACATAATTATTGTAAAAACAAATATCTTTAAGAATACTTCTTGAGGAAATTTATACTTTTTTTTAAACACAAAACCATAAAGTTTAGAGAACTCTCAGAACCAATTATTTTTTTAAAAGAAACCACACAAGAAACAATTACACAAAAAATTAATATAACTAGCATATGATTTTTTATAGATAGGGACATTTAATTCTAAATGTAAAAGTGTTCTAAAGTAAGATACAATCATCTCTATTTAAAACTGAGATTATATGCAATAGTATATGAGGATCAGATCTACAGTTTTATATTATCTGAGACGCTTAAAAAAAACCAAAATGATTGTCTAAATTTCAAAATTAAAGAAGCCATCTGTGCAGAATCTGTGGTAAGTTGAATACTTCTAAATTCATAGATCTGAATAGATACAGCTGTAGAGCTGATGCTGGAGTGCTTACACACAGCTATACTAACTATTCTTCCAACTGTTAGAGCTGTGCAATTAAATCAATATTCTGTGGACAAAAGGATTCTGCTTTTTTATCAAATATATATAACAAGGCAACCATTTACTTTTGTCGTGGTGTAATTTTTCTAATTTCAACATTAGCAACAGATTTGGGTTGTTTTTTTTTTTAAATGATACAGGTCATATGTAGGAACAACTGAAGTAATGCATAGTAATACTCAGCACTTAATATAACACTGCACTGTCAAGTTTCATACTTATTAATCCTCCCGGTACCCATGTGAAGAAAGCAAACGTGTGTCATCCCTATTTCTATAGATGGGTATGTAATACTTTTCAGGAGCATCCCTGATCCCCAGGAGTGGAAGATTCTATTTATTCCACCCTCCTCAGACCAATGGGCCCTGAGTTTTTTGTTTCTTCTCTTCTCCTGTTACAGAGTGCTGCAGAGGGAGCTGCATCTGCTTCTGCCGCTGGAAACCAATCATCTGTAGCTAAGTCCCTTCCTCTGAACATTCAGACTATCTCAACTCCAGGTACAAATCTGGACAGTCCCAGTCACATTCAGACATGCTAGAAAGACATGTCAGGCTCCAAAACCAGTAACAACTCCTCCTCTCGGGCCTGGTTATCACAGCCTCCAGGTATGGAAGACCTGTGTGGTCCTTATCTGCTCCCAGCTCAGTGTTGCAGGCAAACATGTTACTTTGCCATTTTTCTTCACTGCTGTTTCTTGGTTGGTGCTTGTGGGAGCTGCTTTTAATAGGCGTTAAAGTAGCAGAAAGAGGTACAGGTACATTACAGTAGAATCTATTCACTTGCTGTTTGAGCCAAGCTTGCAAGGAAGGCAGCGCCTCACATCACTCGGACCAATTGGGAATCTGCATTGATTGACCTGATGCAGAAATACACCTCTGAGAAGCTATTGAGACTAAAAAAGGGAAGCAGTTTGCATCTCTCCAACCCTGGGAGGTGGCTTAGCCCCTGCCCTGGATAAATCAACCCCCAAAGTTGCCCTAAGTTACACTCTAGCAGCAACTATCCCCCATGTCTCTAAGAGTGGGCCAGCACCCTTGATAAAAGGCTCCTTTATTTCATTTATTTATTTTCATTTCTTTGTTATCCTTCTGGCATTCCAAATCATTAAGAAATAATAATTTGATAAATAACTAATTATAGAATTATTCATAAGCATATTTAAATTACATCTCAGCAATACTTTATCAGAGTAATTTCATATTATTTTCTTCAGTTGTCAATCCCAGCAGCACCACCTATTGTTGAATTCCCAACAACATTCTTGAATAGAATTTGAATGTAGTACTCTTCCATCTCCTTCAGCAGTGACATAGCATCCAGTGGTGAGGCTTTGTAATGCTATGCCATCTTTTACAGGATATGCAACAGCTAGATCTTAACCCATGGGATTCAAAATATATCCTGAGAAATTTTTTTGACAACATAGTAAATCTATGAGCAAAGCATAAGTATTCTACTTCTAGCAAATTAACATTTCTATGCATCAATACAGGAGTCTTTAAGCTTCAGTGTCATCCTGGTTAAAGAGAAAAGTTTTCTGCTCTATCTTTAGTGGGATATAGATGCATATTTAGTGGGATGTGTGTGTTTTTCCATTGGAATAAAGGGAAGATTCACCATTACTGACAGAAGGATGAAAGTTCATCCTGATAAGAGCAAAGAGTTCCACAGATGGGTACCCTACCTCTAGGTGTCTTTGTCACCAGTTCTGATTACATTTGTTCTCAGCCTCTCTCATCATAATAGCTTCTGGATGGTCCAGAAAGAGAAATGGTCCTCCATATATTTGGGCTCTTGCCTATTGTGGGCTTTGAAGATGAGGGTTGTGAATGGGATCTGAATTTGAATGGGGACTAAGTGCAGTTAACAGAGTACCAATATGATGTGATGCATCACACACTATAGTGAAAAACAATAAAACTGAGTTATGCCAGCCATATCATGCTAACATCTGAAAGAAAAATACACAATTCTTAAACCTTGTTTTTAATAAAACTGTATTTTGAGTGGAACTGGCTATTCGAATGACTTCTTTCCCTGTTGTGTGGAAATGTGATTGTGTCTATTTCATATACACAAAGTTATGTAAACCATGATCCTGGTTAAGATATTCAGTTCTATTATTCATACCTAATTTGTCTTTGTGAAATATTTTAACTATAATGCATCACAACAAAGTAGCTTAATTTAGTTTGATTGCATTTTTAATTTGGTCACTCCCTCTACTGGTTGCTTTGTCTTATGGTTTAACTGTTTTGGTTAAATGATACCCTATTTGTAATACAGTCACTCCTAAAGGACACAAATACAGCACTTTTTATGTTCAATGTTAAGGTTTTAGCAATGTATGTTCCAGCACAATCTGCTTGGGTACTTGCAAAGGTTGCAGTACTATGCCAATTAATCTCCTCCCAGCCACAAGGCTATGATCACCATGTAGGCTGTCACTGCATCATCCTAATATATAGGCATATAAGTAGGCAGCTTCTGTGCTCCAAATATGTTTGATGGGGCAAGTTTTCCAAACATAGCAACATGTAAAACAGCATCTTATTTTCACTTTTACTCTCCATCTATAGGTCACAGAATGCCATTATGCGAATCCAATTTCAAAATGGGATTAATTTAAAAAAATTAGCTTCTGAGGCTGTGTAATTGCCGTTTTATATGAATCTGAAAATGGAGCAGAGGACACTGGAGGGTACATTCCAATAGATTCTGCCCAGTTTTAGTTGAAGGGGTGAAGGTGGTGAGGTCACAATCAGTTTCTGTAACCTATTTGATTTTCACTTGAATAAATCCACCTGATACAGAGTCCTGTTTTGTAAGCTTTAAACCTACTCCTACTCAGCACTTCCGAGAGTGGGTCTGAGGAGGAAGACACTACCATGGTGTATCCTAGAATGGAGACGAGATTTTGGTCTCGATCAGCTGAACCAAGGGAGAGCACCACTTCTTTAGCCCTACACCCCATGGCGGGAGTATTTAGACCCATTGGTGGCATGGGTGTGCCAGCAATGAGACCACCCTGCGATGACACATCTAGGTTATTGGACAGTGGAGACATATAGGTGGAAGGGGTCCTGGATGCCTTGGAATCAGAGATGTAAGGGCCTATGCCCGTAGCCGAGGGATCCTCAAAGAAACCATCACTTGCCCAAGAAGCTGTCCCCTCCGCCCCTGCATTACACCCTCTCAATAGGCGGGACATGGTTATAAGGTCAGTAAGCTGGTTAATTTATGATGCACCTGGGGTGGCTAGTGAAGAACCAATACATTTAGTTCATAGGCTTATGGAAGCCATAGTTGGTTTCCTGAGGCCCTTTGAGGGAAAATAATGAATTTAGTATAATATGGAGTGTGATTTGTTGGGATGACAAATTCTCAGCTTGGGGGAGGATGTAAGCAGAGTCTGAATGAGCTCTCCCATGACATCTAGTGGTGAGCTGTGGAAAAGAACTTCAGGAGCTGATCTCGTTTTCATGGGCACACCTACCCTACCTAGGTGCTCAGCATGATGGGATTGCTTGCCCAAATGATCACTTGTGGCTGCTGTTGGATCCTCAGTCTCCTTGTTATTGGGGCAGGAGTAATAAAGGGTTGTGTGAATCAAGGGCAACAGAACTATACCTGTCATACCCCGATGGAGGGAGTCACCCTCAACTGAACTGCACTCGCTAGGCAGGGGACATGAGTTCCAAAGCCCAATGAGTTGACAGAGGCTGGGGACTGGTACTTGTACATGGTGGTGTGGCCCCTGTTTAAATGTCCTAGATACCATTTGACTCCTTCTCTCTCCACAGCATAATAAAAGACTCATTTAGACTCAATTAAGAGTCCTGTTACGTGCTGCAGAGCTGAAATCACTGATAGCTGGGTCTAAGTATTAGACCTACTTTAGGACAGTGTCTCTATTGCAAGAGACTGCCCAGTGTGCACCAACAGTGAGGTTCCCCCACTAACAGCTGAAATCACTGAGAGCTGTGTTAAATGTTGGGCCCTGAAGACATCTTGGCGAGTGGCCAGCAGCGTGGCTGGTGGAGAAGGCCAGAGCAGAACCCCGCAGAGAGGCATGCCAATGAGTGAGTGACCCAAGCAGCAGAGCATGTAAGGTGCCTCCTTACTCCCCACCTCCCTCCACCCAGCGTGGGAGGTGAACTCTGCAGATGAACCTCTGAAGTCTAGGGCTGCACTGGCCAAGGACAGTAACTGTGAGTGGGGTGCAGAGAAGGGACGGGCACATTAAAGGAACTTAAAAGCCTGAGGGGAAAGGACACTGTCCAACTTACTTGGGGGTTGGTCTTTTGCTCATGGTTTAGGTTTATGAACCTTAGTTGTGGTGTTTTCCCAAATTAATGCAGAGTTACTTTCCTCCTTTTATTAAAAGTTTTTGCTAGACTAAGACTCTGTGCTTGCGAGAGGGGAAGTATTGCCTCTTAAAAGCACCCAGGGAGAGGTGTGTAATTGTCTCAGGTCACTGGTTGGGTGCTTGAGCCGTTTTTGTGTTGTATTGGTGAAAAAGGAACCCCTAGATACTGAGCCTTGTTGCTGCTGGCTCCACTTGGCAGAAGGCTTACATTAGGATTGAAAAGTGTTCCATGTAATAAAGTAAGTAGTAAAAATCTAGACAAAGAATAAGTAAATTTAATCATGGTACATATTACTGAGGATTAATAAAGATAGCATATATCACAAAAACAACCAAAGAAAACCTCCTGAAAATGCTTTTGTACTAATAAGTATACAGAACTGTATTTAGTGAAGGTAAAAATTAATCTAGCTAGTGATGCCAGACTAAGAAGGAGAAAGCACCTATATCAATCTGCTAGTATATGAGAAGGAAGTATTAGTTTCTGTTTAAGTATCCTTGACAAAAAAAATTATTTCTGTAAATGTAAGCTTTTTTCAGTATCTTCAAAAACAGAATCAGCAGCATTATTTATTGCTATTATTTTAATTGATTGATTGAATTGTTTTCTTTCTGGTGCCCAATAAATCATTAACAAGACAAAACCTTCACATATCAGAGACCACAAGTTTTTCCAAGAGGGACATGAGTTGAGTGACGACCCTGTTCTTCAGAAAGTTCCCTAAGATTGCTCATTTTAAGCCACAGGCCAGGCCTTATTTATGGCGTGTGCAGGCAGACAACATTTAGCATTCACAGACTCAGCATCTCTCAAAAGTTTCTCTCTCTTGAAACTGTGAACTTAACAACTGTTGTCTTAAATTACTGTTGGAAGCTTCCATCTAGGCTATCTTAGGTTTTTCTAAGGTGCCTGTCACTATAGTATCATGGTCATACAACAATTAAGGTAACCCTGCATGTGCCATAAATGGCAATAGTCAAATAGCCTTCCTATTCCTGATGTGAATGTTTTTTTCTTCTCTTCCTTCCCTCCATTTCTTCATCCTGTCTTCTGTCCTTACATTTCTTCTCACATTGTGAGTTGGTCTGAAGATGTCATTGCCAAAGAATGGCTTTATCAAAGAGGTGGATTGTGCATTTAGACCTTAACATGGTTAGATTCAGTTTAATGTTGTCTGGAAGTTAGTTCCACATCTGGGGTCCTCCCACTGAAAATAATTTGCCTCCAGCACATAGTCTTATCTTAGGCCAGGCTTGTTTGCAGCTTGGATGTGGAGTACAACCATCTTGGAGGGTCATGACTCATGAATGGACGGACTGTCTCAGGCAGCTTTACCCCAAGCCCCAAGTGTCTTGTACATTAGGACAGGGATGTTAAATTCAATCCAGAAAGTGACAGTTTGAAAGTTAAAACATTTGGAAAGTTCTAAATGGGTGAGTGTAAATTTAAGTACAAGAGCTAGGCTGTTCAATAAGCATCAGAATACCCCCAAACAGCCATGGCCAACTATAAATCTTCCTTCTCTTCTTCAGCTATCCCTCGGTGGGAGGAGGATGTCTGCCAAGGGGGTTCATTGGTGAGTTTTTAAGTGGCTGAGGAGCCCAATTCGTGCCCTGCAGATTTTCCCACAGAAGTGACAGGTGTAATCTTGGAGGAGACAGTTGTTGGCTGAACTGTTGTGTCCTTTCTTTCCCCTTTTGTCACTTCTCTCTCTCATGAAGATGTCTATTTTCCTCTAAGTGAGTTGTGGCTTGGTGTATGGTGTGGTGCCGCTGTAAAAATACTCTGTCCATATTCTTGTGTGAGTGGGTGGTGGGAGAGTGATAGACTAGAATTTCTTGTAGGAATAGAGAGCACTCACATGCTCCAGGGTTTCACTATACATGATGTGCACCTTGGGATTCATTTTAATATTGAAACCTAAGACATCAATAGCAACTAGTGAAAAGGTTTCCAGGTTCCTTTTGTGCCTGAATGCTTAATCAATCTCTAAAACTAAGACTCAAGTTTAATGTTGGACTGGATCATGTTTTTGTCCCCTGAAGAAGATTCATTGTTCCCCACAGGAAACTTCGGACTGAAGGTAAGTGTTAAGAAATATTTTTTCACTTAAAAAAACATCCATTTGGGGTTTGTTTTGAAAGATGCCTCAGAATTCTAAGTGGTAATTTCATAAAAAATTATTTGCCAATCCCACACAGGACATAATTAACCCATCAATCTTTAATTTCTCCCTACCTTTCTAGGGCACAACAAGCTTCTGCTGCACTTTTAAAATAAGAATCCACACCTCTAAGCTATGTCACCAGTAGACTGCAATCACTCTCATTCATGACACACAAGAAAGCTGCATTATGGGACTTATCCTGCTCTCATTGACTTCAATGGTGGAAGATGAGTGCCTTGATTCTCTCCTTTAACAGGATTCAACCTTTTGCCATTGTCAGGTGCACTGTCACGTGCTATGTCTGATCTTTGAAACATCTTTTCATAACAGAGGTGCAACAACATAAGTAAAATTGGTGGTGGTGGCGGGGGCAGAATGACATGAAGTTAATATGCATGAGTCCTGCTACTAAATTGTATGGTACATGTATAACAAAGCAAAAAACTGAGGGAGACATGTCCCTCCATCTTCCTCCTCCCTCTCCTCCAAGTGGTGCCAGCTAAGTGAAATGGACAATGAGATTATGGAGAATCTGTACAGACTACTATGAATGACAATTCAAGCAGTCAGAGTTTTGCCTGTGGGGAGAGCCCCCTGAACCGAACATGAAGACCATAAATCATAAATGAAGGCTGAGACAGGAAAGGCATAGGATCTTAAGAAGCCATGGACTAGGTTGTGAAGGACCCACAAAAAACATTACCGATGCATTAAGTTCCAATGAGAAGGGCTGACTTAAAAGGTAACTGAACTCATTTTTACCCAGACTGTAAAAAAACCCACCAAAGTTCTGCGAATTTCAGATTAAAAAGAAAATCAGAATCTATTCGGGTTCTCTTGACTGCTTTAGAAGCTTTTGCGCCTGCTACTAGGTTCTTTGCAATATTTGCATCTACATAAGTGGAAGCTAGAGTTTAAGGCTAATTGTACAAAAAGTATTTTCCAGATATATCATGATTTTAGTAACACCTCTACCTTCTGATAAACCACTATCAAAATTTACAATTCAGACCTGGTATAAACAGATGCATCTCCATTAATTACTCACATCAAGTCTGAATTTGCCCCACTGTGTTTCATGGTTCTCGATATTTCTCATCTCTTGCAAATAGCTGACTATTCTGTTTTGTTGCACATTTAGTAGTACAAAGCACATAGAAATGGGACTTTCATTTTATGCCATTTGCAAAATACACCTGTACTATTTTATTTCTCAAGCATATTCTGAGGTTTAAACATGCTACAGAAATACCATGTAAAGAATAGACAAAATCTTAAGAGCCTCACTCAAGAAAACAATATGTAATAAAAACTTTAAGACTTGCGAGAACACACTGCTACCATACAGGTTCCATGAGCTGTGAAAATGTAGTTTGATAAATTTTGATGACTGGCTATCCATACTGTGTTTATTCAAAGAAGCACTTATAAAGAACACCTAAATAGGAGACTGATTGACAAGTAGCATTAGAAATCTTGAAGCAAGTTAGCAATTATATCTAAAAAGATTATAAAAGGGAAGACACTGTACAGTTTTCACAACCCTTGCTGTAAAAGGGCATAAAGGCATTACTTGACAGCTTTGGTGAAGTGGGGAACAGCGGCCTATGGGCTCAAGCACCATGAGATGTCTTTTCAATAGAGGTTCTGACTTGTGGAGCCTACTGAATTCCATGACTGGCCCAAGCATGATATTTAAGGCCTAGGGAAAACATCTAGAGCCTGTCTGTGCAACAGGGTGGATCCCTGGCTTACTGCTGCAAACAGACCCTGATGCCCACCCTGAGCTCCAAAAGTTTAAATATGCCTCAGAAATCCCATGATAACTTACTCCTGATATTTAGCCTCTCTCCTGGTCCTGGTCCTCTGCTCCCGACTCCTCACCCTGCCTCAGTTCTTGGTCCCCTGCTCCACTCCTGACTCCTGGCCCTGCCTCTGTCCCACAAACCTTAGTTTGGCTGATGCACTTCGCTCTTCCCTGGTGGGGCTCATTGACCTCAAATTCAACCTAATCCTAAAACTGATGCGCCTGATTTTGACCCTCTCAACTGTACTTGGACCAAGTCCTCTCCACTGAAGGCCCTGACCTCGACCCATACCCTGTAAAAGTCAGGGTCCTGAAGATACCAACATTCCTGCATCATCTGGAGGTTTTGCATTGTTCTGAACAACTAAGGAATTCAGAAATCTTGAACCTCATTTTCAGAAGTGCTGAGAATCCATAACTCAGTGGAAATAAATAAAAGCTGTGAGAAGACAGGCTGAAATCACCTCTAAAGCCATCCTTGTTAAAGTAAAAATAAATTATACAGTTCATTATTTTTCAGAGAAAGGAACTGTCCAATCTTGCTAAGAATTGTCAGATGGGCTTCCACAGTTGTAAGAAATTTTAGGCTCTTCCTCCTCTGCTCCCAACTGCATCCTGTAATTTTCAGTTCTGGTTGCTGATGCTCTAAATCTGGTCAGCATAACAATTTATTACACACTTATCAGTGACTCATCCACATACTTAAAGATCTCAAGTATGAATCATGTCTGTCGAATTCTTATTATAGTCTATAAAGGCTGGTTTACATCGATGTACTATAGAACACAGTGAGCAAATAAGGGAGACTTTGATGTTGAAGAATTGCCTAGTTGCCTGAGCTTTCTGGAGAGGATTTAACTTAAAGGTAAAATCTTTGTTTTCAGTATCACATCTCCCCATTTTAAAAAGTGCTTCAGTTTTACAGAGTTAATAAAAAGGATGATCTAATAAAATGTTCAATATTAAATGTACTGTTTAGAATATATTGTTATAGCTCTTATGATAGCTTGACAAACCTACTTGGAGGAAGAAATATCATTGCTGCTGCTGCCCGCAGCCTATATGTATAAATTGACCTAAATCTACTCTTTCAATGTCAGATGACAAAATCAAAATGAGAGTGGGTTGGCAGCATAAATATAAGCTATATATTAAAAGATATAGCATGGAAACTCTGCCTTCTAAAGTCAGAATTCCGAACACAGAAACCACACAAAACTAATGCTAATTGATATCACATGTTCTTTATCAAAGCTTCCTCAAGAAAAGCAGCTTAAGGGAAAATCCATAAATGTGTCTTGACCACAGTCTACCAATCTTTTTCCATATTGGAGCCTTTAGCTAATTTGTTGGTTTAATTATCATAGGCACAGGAAAGTTTGCAAAAGTGATAATCTTGCATTCTTTGATGGCTGATTATATAAAGTAGTCTTTATGAAGTAAAAATAAACCTTGACCCTTAAGTATAATATCTGAACTCTAAAAATTAGTTTCTCTCTAAATCTGGAAGCATAGTCTTCTACTACTACTATTGTCTGTGAACTAAATTCAGAAAAAATAATAAACACTGAAGTTCTGAAATCGATGATAGACAAGTTTAGCTGCTGCCTATGGAAATTTGGGATAAATTGGCCAAATTGGATAAATGGGGTTTTAGCCTTTGTCATCTCAGGGAATATAGAGGGTTGTTAGGTAATTGATTCTACTGTGCCATTTACATATCTTTAATTGGATAGGAAGTATGAACTATTGCAATATTCTGAAGGTATTAGCAGAAGGTCAAACAGAAAAGAGTTGTAGAGGGAGGAGGAAGAAGTAATTGAAGAGACAGAAGAGGATTACGAAAGTCTTTAAGGAGTCTGCATCTGGCAAGACATAAAATAGGTCAAGAAGCAAAAAAATGGGAGGTCAGTCACTTTTACTAGAATACTCCACCCCCAAATATTCCCACGTATATACAAAACCCCCAGAAAAATATTACATTAACAACCAGTAACTGTCCCAAGCCAGCTATTGATATTACGGTAATGGTTTGGAATTTTATGCTAGGAATAAACACTAAGTTATTTATGCTGCACAACAATTAACCAAGGAAGATGAAGTGTATATCTGAAGGCACCATTGCTGAAATGCTCTTTAGAAAAGCAATATTGGCTAGAATGAGAACATTACACGAAAACTGATAATCTATGGTCAAATGATTTTATATCCATCATGGCTCATTTGAGAATATTCTGGTCTATCACCTCTGCCTCCTCCAACTTTTCCAACTCCTCCAAACCAAACGGTCCTTAGGAAATAGATCTTTGCTGCAAAATTATTCCTTAGAAAAAGTATAACATGGCAACTAAGCATTGCTAGCACCATTAGTGCCTCAGGGGACTGTACCACTCCTCTTAAGACAACGAGAACTGGTGGTGACTGGAGCATGAGAACAAGATAAGTTAAAGACACTATTTATTTGGGGAGTGTTAGGAAATTTTAATTAGTGAATATATATCTATAATTTCACTGTAATTTAAGACACTGAAGTTGCTTCTTTTGGACTGATGTGTCAACCTAGGCCACAGTAAAGTACATACAATTGTTCATTTAGCATTTTAATTTTTAAAAATATTGGTATAACCTTTTCTATTTGTTTCTGTGATGTTATCTGATTAAAATATAATCATATAGTTCATTGTTGCAACCGCTGATCTATTTGCAACAAATCTTGTACAAAATGTGGCATGCAAGATGTGTATGAAAAGGTTATGATTTGCTGGTTATGATTATGTTATTTGTATGCATGTATCATTTTTATATTTGAAGTTGAGTATTGGCTCTATACCTGTATTTCAAATGTTTGCTCCTGGGGTAATGCCCACAAGACAGTTAGCCAGAACATCTTGGAGGGACTATTCAAAATGAGTAGCCCATCAAAAGGACACAACTCAAAATGGACCATGGAAGACACCCATCTAAACTGAATAGACTTTCCTGTAGACGTTCAACCTGAAGTACTGGTAATGGTTTCCTTCAATGACTAGGCGAAATCAGGTATGGACATGTGACTTGCCCATGTGACTCCAAACACCCATCTTTTACCTGTAATTTTCCACTAGCTGTGCTGAGGACTTTTTTTGAAACAATAGGTTTCCCACTACATGGCAGAAGCTATAAAAGGCCCTGGAAACACCCCCATTTTGCCTCTTTCCTCCTCAAACCTCTGAACTATGGACTTATACTAATGGGAGCATTGTAACCAAGGGACTGAGGTTCTTCCAATGATTTGGAAGCAGCCAGAGACTTGACTTAAGCCAGCAGTTTATTCCATCACTGCTACAAGCCTGAACCAATAACTTTGCATTTATTGTATGTGTTTAATTCCTTTAACCAATTTAAACTCTCACCTTTCTTTTTATAAATAAACATTTAGATTTTAGATACTAAAGGATTGGCATCAGTGAGATTTTTGGGTAAGATTGGAGTTCTAAATTGACCTGGGTGTGTGTGGTTGGTTCTTTGGGATCAAAACCTCTTATTTGATGAGACAGGTTGTAAAGAACCACTCATCTTTAAGTCTAGTGTTTTTGGGGATGATACAAGGACTGGAATACCTAAGAAAACTGTTTTTATGACTTCTTGTTAGCCAGTATGCTGAAACAGAAGTTTACTTTTGTTGCTGGTTTGGTATATCTCAGGGGAGAATAACCTCCAGTTTTGGGGTGTATCTGCCCTACTTCTCAGCAGTTTGTCCTGAATTTGGTATATTCAGTTGTGACCCACAAGGCACAGTTACAGTTCCTTTTATAGAAATAGAAGAAAACTGGCCCATAATAATTATCAATTCAAATAAAACTGTAGAGTTAATTATTTTATTTATATTGTATTATGTTCAGATTATTCTTAAATGGTGTTTCTCTGGCACAATAGACACTACTTAGGCACTGATTAGGCTGCTCTGAAGCCTAACAGAATGGAGGGTTGGGAGTCTAATCGAACTGAGAGCACCCGAGCATTGTCTTGACTACTCTCAGGCCTACTGCTAGTCCTGTGTGAAGGAGAAGGCAATGATCACATTAACCATCTCTCCAGTCCCTTTTGATCTTGTGGGGAACCAGAGGATGTTCAACACATGATGCATTTTACGGCAGCTTCCAGTCTGCTGTAGCTTATGAAGATTTGGAGTGGCTCTGTATTCTGTCCTGCTCTTGAGGATGGCCCCTGTGCAGAGAGGAAGAGGCTAGTAGGAGGTGGTGTAAAGCTAGCTCTACTCCTCAGCTGCTCTTTTAGGGAATCTTTAAATCCACTTTGCCTGCCAGAGTAGTGCAAAAAGGCAATATCTGACCGTAGTGTTTTCCAGATATCTTAATGCGTGTTAGCAAGACCTCTTTTCTCTAGCACAAATGGACCTCTACTTATGTGTATAACATCTGTTCATTTGATATCAGGATGCAAAAACTATCAGATTCATGGTGTATAATGGACAGCTTTAAAAACAGTTTGCCTTTATAAATAATGTTATCACAGTCTTACCAAAATTTTCCTTAGTTTAAAGAATATTGAACTATGTTTAGTCATCTCAGTCAATGTAAAAGTTTTTAGGGGGAGCACTGTGTAGCACTAAATTAGAAAGTTACAGTTAACTGTTCCTAATCAATTACATGGGGACTGATTTGGGTTATTTCTTGATGGGAAGAAAATTAGTGAGATTCATAAGTCTAAAACCAAGCAGAGTCTGATAGGACTGGATATACTTTACCACTACAACAAGGTAAAAGGGCCTTGAAGTAGGTGTAAATGTAATTTAAATAAAAGAACATTTAGGTAATATTGTGGTAATGTTACCTACTTACAAAGGCAACACTGGAATGCTTTTAACGCAGAAATTTATACTCACTTTATAGACCCTTTACACTCCCAGCATAGAAGAATAGGGCCATAAAGGTAAATGAGGATCAAGCCCTAGAAAGAGATTTTTTTTTTAACTCATACATACAAATTTAGAGTGACTGTTATTGTGATAGACTGCTATTGCAAGCTTTCCAGACACATTAATTATTTTCTGAGAGCTACATATGCTTTATGCATAGTAAACATTATCAATGTTATGGGCTGGACTCCCCAACTAAGGTTAGCCAGATAAGAGGATTTGTCCAATTTGCACTTGGATTTCCAAAGGTGTTTATATGCAAACAATATGTATGGTGAGAACTTCAATGTGAAATCAATTTGAATCCAGTGTAAAAAGTTGTTCATAAAACAAAAGAAAGGCCACTGAGGGTGTGCATGTTTGATTTCTTTCTTACTATCCTTCGCTAACACATGAAGCTGTAAAAAACAAATGAATAAAAATTTAGGGCAATTTTTGTCTCAAACAGTTTACAATGAACCTAGTATGAGAGAACCTTCTGCTTCCAATTTATATCTGTAAGAAGTTATCATTCCTGGGAAAGTTTCATCTGTCCTTTACTTTAATTTGTATGTTTGTGATGTTCTTCCAAACACTCCCCAAGTTATCTGTATCCAGAAGGTTAGATTTGCTTTTTTGGGGGGGGGGGGGTCTTTAAACTTGAATGCAATTTGAGAGAGAGACTTAAGACCTTACATTAGCTTTAACTGCTTGCATTGTAGACCTGCTGGCACCATTAAAACAAAAGGGGAAACGTTCTGACACTGCGTGAAGATGCTCTTGTTTCACTGGCCAACAAAGAGCCAAAGACAAGGCCTATTAGTGCTAGTGAGACCAGATTTACCATATGATTAATCACTGAAGTCTGAGTCAAAATTCAGACTGGCTCGCACCTACTTTGTGGGTCAGAGTTTTCCCAGAGCTCATTAAGCACTTTAGGCTTGTAATTTACTCTTTCCACAATAAACTTTTCCTGATTTGCACTAAAAATTAAATGCAGGTGATGTTTTCTATTTGGTATTGTTGTGGCCAGTGTCTCAGGGTATGGCAGAGGTATTTTGTTTTAATGTTCAGTGACAGTCATTTTCAAATCCTTCAAGAGAGAATGAGCAGAAACAATGTTTTTGATCTTTGTCATAATATTGTGAAGTAAAAGAACTTTGATGCAAAGTTGATGTGCCATGGAAAGGTCACTCAAATAAATTGTACCCTTTCCTCAAGTCTTAAAACTCTAGAGTTCACTCTGCAGCTAATTACAGTATGTTCAGAATTCAGGTTATTTTTAGGAATAGGAGTGGGTCAATATACATCCAGCCTATTTAAAGAAAGAGCCTTACTGGTGAGTTTCTCCTGTAGTGCAACTAATAAATAGGTAGCAGACTAATGTCTCTGTACTTTTGACTTAGATGCTATGGCAGGGAGGGACAGCAGGAACGTCTCCTCTCTGGCGTCAAACAGTCCCTCTGCATGCATTCAATTTATTACAAGGCAATGTTACAAGTATGAACCCCGGCACAAAATAAAGTAATTATATTTAATTAGGCAGCCAGAAAAAGTGATGGCCCGAGACTCTCTGCCTTAAATGTAGCCTTTTGTTGACTTAACACAGGACAGGTAATGAATGAAACTTCAAAGTGTAAGTAACTTAAATTGCTCCTTAATTAGTGGAGACCAAGTCAGAAAATGCAGCAAAACAAAAACCCTCAATTTTCTTTTGTCGAAGGAATTCAGATAAAGATTCCATGTCTCATGGAAGACCTGAAATTAGGATTGTTCCTCTTTTTATCAAGAGCTTTATTATGTACTCCTGTTCAAAATAGAATATTTTAGTTTTAGTTAGTTAATGTGATGCTCACAAGAAAGGTGTTCGATTGGCAGCCCTGGAGCCTAAAGTGTACTAAAGAGGATTTTGAATACAAACAAGAAGTCTGATCATAATGCTTACATGCCTGTATTATTTGGAGTACAGCTATTTAACCCATTGAGTGCCCTAGATCTATTGTGTATGTGACACTAAAGAAACTAGCCACAGAGGGACAGATTTTCAGAGGCTAGTGCACACAGTGTTTGCATGCACATCTAGCCAGCTCACGATGCAATGTAATCACAAGCAGCATATACAAAAAGATAATGATAAATTATGTTCAGCTAAGCTAAGTGTGTGCCATGTGGAGAGCACAAAATCAACTCATTTTGAAATGCACGGTTAGTTATATTATTCCCAACATCCTAAACCAATCTGCTGTATTACTTGTGTTTCACAGTTATTAAACTGATTCACCACAGAGGTCGGGTATTTTCAGAACAATAAGTGGCCATAAGATTTGAAAATCACGGAGGTTGACATTGACAGATGTCCAATGAAAGGTAGATCTGTTAGGGAGTTCTGGGATGGATGGAGGTCAACATAGATGACCTGAAGTGTCTGGTGCTTTGTTTCATCAATTTTCTGCATTAATCTGTGACAGTGTTTGCAAATATTTGGTTTTACTTATATTTGATTTTCAAAACAAAAAAACAAAGATGTGTCAGTAATCACTGGAAACAGTAAATACAGACCTCTGGCATGAGAGTGGGGTATAAACTTCTGTAATCCTGACCTAAATCTAGGGTGACCAGACAGCAAACATGAAAAATCAGGACAGGGGGGGGGGGGGTAATAGGAGCCTATATAAGAAAAAGACCCAAAAATCGGGACTGTCCCTATAAAACCGGGACATCTGGTCACCCTACCTAAATCAGATGACTGGGCTAGAAAATAAAGATAAGTGTGCTACACGTTTCTTGCAAGGCACAACTAACCAAGGCTAGGTCTACGCTACCACTTATGTCAGTATAATTTATGTTGCTTGGGGGGAGAATAAGCCACCCCCTGAACAAAATTGACACAGACCCAAATGCCAGTGTGGATAGCACTATGTTGATGGTAGAGCTTCTCCTGCCGACATAGCTGCCGCCGCTCATTGGAAGTACATTAAGTCAGTCAACAGGAGGGCTCTCTCCCATTGGCTCAGAGCAGATAAGGTACGCCGCTGTAAGCTCTCTAGTGTAACCATAGCCCATGTGTACAAATACACATGCTCATTTTGCACCCAGAATCATGGTATTCACAGATGCCCATCTTTGGAAATCTATTTTATCACACAATTAAAATAAAAAGATGACGTTTCTGAAGTGGTGCAATGGGTCAGTGAACTAGTTTCATCTCTGGACCCAACTTCTAATTCTAACTTGAATCAGAGGAGAAAATCTATTTAGAGTTTTCATCCCAGCCTTCATTTGCTCACATTACAATCTTGTGCATCTGCCTGCATAGGCCCAAAGGTTGATAAAAATTTTATTACCATCTCA